CGGAGGGTGGGCGGCGCGGGAGGAAACTACGGCGGTGGCTCCATGGCCCGGGCGCGCTGAGGGACGCGGCTCTCGCCTCAGCCCGGCGGCAGCCGAACAATGAAGCTCTTGAAGCCAACCTGGGTCAACCACAATGGTGAGTGCTCGCAGGGGTCGCAGGAGGCAGAGTCTGGAGTGGGTTTGGGATCCATTGTCGAGTTGGGGCCTCTTACAGGCCCTACCCACTTGGTCCCAGACGCCCAGTGCCGGTGCCATAGCTGCGGAGCCGGCGGGAGTAGACTTTTTCCGCCCAGGAGGCTGGCAAACCTGGGCACGTGCTCTGAGCTGGCTGCAGTCAAATCCGCCTTCTCCCCAAGCATTGACACTGACTCCTGCGCCGCTCATCTCTCATCGGTAGCGGGGCCGCGGCCTGGTTTACTCGCTGGAGTTGGCCTGAGTTCCGGCCAGGTCCTGCCCTCGTCTGCACTAGCTAGTATGTGCTTAGATGGTCCTGAGTGTGAAATCACCCGGGCGCTATACCTTTCGTGGCCTTTCAGTGGTGGGGTGAAAAACTAGAATCTTCAGGAAGGGTTGTTATTGCCCTTGCTGAGCCCTGGAGCTGGTGACAGTGCCCTCACTCGGGGGCCTGTGGTCCTGATATAGGAAGGCTTAGGCCCAAGTCCCATGGAAGATTATGAAGGAACTACCTTTATTGCTTAGCTGGGATATCAGGGTGAATAGGATTGGGGCCAGTAGGACACAGGTGTGCTCTGGAAAAGGACTTTCTTAGGTTTATAGTGGTAGCTCCAAAGCATATGGTGGGAAACAGACTCATCCACCCTTGCTGAGACTTGACTGTGATACAGAGAGGCTAGCGGTAACCAGCAGTGTTGTCCTAGTTCTGCCAGGAGTTGGTCTTTGCTCCCTGGAGGGAGGAAGGGAGGACCCCCACCCCACCCCATTCCCCATGACTGTACTGGCATTCCAGGAAGGCATCTCCAGGCAAAGGTATCCCCCCTTCCCTTGAGGCAGATCACCCTGCTGCCCTCTTGTTTCTTACTTCTACTTGGCAGTGTGACTAGAGGGTGCTTCAGTTTTAAAACAAGAGAAGTGGATGCTTTTGCCTTTATTTACATATGTAGCTTTGGCATTTTGAATTTGATCCCAGAATGCTCAATTTCTACAAACAAACTTAATTCAACATGTCTTATCCTTCTTTCAATCAGAAGTGCCCTCTCCTTCAATTGTGTGATACCTTCCCCAATTTTCAAGAATCAGATGATTTCTTTTTGAAACCATTTCTGCCCAAGTTATTTCACTAGATGTTCTTTACAGCTATCCCTGTGCTTTGCCTGTTTGGAAATTATGCTTGTACTTTCCACAGATCCAGGGCAAGGACTGCCTCACTTCCCTATGTATTCCCTGATAAACTCAGCAATGCTTTCCATATAATGGTATATGGTAAATGTTGGATAAAACAGGTAAGAAAGCTGAGGTTTCCATAATTTATGAAGATGCAGTTAGGTTTACTGTAAGTGAAAACAAAAGCCCTGAGCCTTAGTTTCCATTATCTTTTTGATCTCCAAAAGCATTTCCTGATGTATAGGGTATAGATCTTTCTCTGAAAAACTGGGCAGTTATTGAATTATATTGCTTGGAATCAGTAAAGGAGACATTTTATTATGAATTAGTTTGCTCTGTAAATGAAGGTGCAAAGAATTTTTTTATTTTAAAATGCTTTGCCTAAATACATTTGTTATATAGCCTACCTTCTCCAGTCTCTTCTTCCTTCTGTCATATAACTTTCTTTTTGTTAAGCTCCTTTGTAGGACAAAAGTGTTACACTGTGTAAACATAATTATGTCAATATGCTTAAATGATTATCTAGGTACAAATGAGTGATAGTCTGCAACCAGGTCAGCAGTCAAATGTACCAGCTTGGCAGAGCAGAGAGAGTGATGAGCCCTGAGTCTGGGACCCTTCTAGAATGGAGTGTGATGGTTTCTGCTCTATGCACTTCACAGTATAATTGTGAAGTTCAGCTGGAAACAGAGATGATAAAAACTTTTTCCAGACCATAAAATGCCTTAGAAAACTAAGAGATAATAATAATAAAATATATCAAGACTGACTGAATGGGATTTAACTTTTTTTTTTTTTTTTTTTTGGTACCAAGGATTGAACTCAGAGGCACTTAATAACTCAGCCCGTTTTATTTTTTTATTTTGAGACAAGGTCTCACTAAATTGCTGAGGCTGGCTTCAGATTTGTGATCCGCCTGCCTTAGCCTCCTGAATCTCTGGGATTACAGATTTGTTCCACCAGGAAAATGACGACCAAAGTATGCCAACAAATACTCAGCAGATTTAACATCTTTTAAACATGTTCTTTGTCAAATTTTCTTTCTTTTAAAATCTCCTAAAATGAACCTCGGCCTTGTGGAATAGCCAGGGGGGCTGTCAGGTAAAATTACCACTATCTTGGAGGAAATTATGTTGGTCTGAATCACTAATGAGCAGGCCTATAAAGATAATAGTGAGTAGTGGATTCTCATTCAGAGCCTGAGTAGTAGGTAGTGGCCATTAAAATCATGCTTACTTTGGATGAAAAAACAAAACCCATGTTGCATTTTCATTGCACTTTCTGGCTACCTCATTCTTCATACTTGTTTCCTCTTTCATGTAGCATGAACACACTTTGTTGTCTGAGTCCAACAGGGGAAGGAAAAGACAGCTCATCATTTTCCCCTGGAGTGGCAAGGGATCCAGACAAGGTAGAGTGGGCAGCTAGAATAGGTGATGCTAGAGGAGGGAGAAGTGTTTGTTGGCATACTTTGGTCGTCATTTTCCTGGCTGATAGTAAAGAAACCTCTAAGGTAGTGTTTTTCAACCTTAGCACTATTGACATTTTGGGACATGTAACGGTTGTGGGATGCTGAGCAATATCCCTGGCCTCTACACAATAGATTCCTGGAGTGCCCTCCACCACTACCCTTTAGTGACAATTTGGTGAACTTCTCTGGCATTTGGAATTAAGTGCTTCTGGCATTAATTGGTAGAGGGTAGGTCTGCTGCTAAGCATCCTACAGCCTACAGGATAGCCCCAATACAAAGGATTATCCTCTTTAAATGTCAGTTGTGCCATGGGTGATGAACTTTGCTTGGGATGGAAAAGTCTTTGTTATTATTTGCCTTTTCTTCTATTGTCTTATTGTTCCAACTAGTTTGTAAACTTCTTGAAGACAAGAGGTTGTGACAACCAAAAATTATCTCCAGGCATTGCCAGTGTCTACTGGTAGCCAAAATTATCCCCAGTTGAGACATTCTGATCTAAATTTATGTTAATAAATCTTGATGTTTATCTTATTACAGAGAAATTAGCCTTGGGTACAAAATCAGACTGGGTTCAAGATACCATCATTTATGAATTGGATTCTTGGGCTGGAAACTTACTTTTAGGCTTTGGTAAAATTTTATTAAGGTAAAGACTCATCTTTTCCACTTTACCCTATACCCAAATATTACAGACTCTTAGATATAAAACAATAGCTAATGGTATATATCATTTATATAGGAGTTATATGCCAGGGACTGATCATACACTATTCTGTTCTTCAATATATTATTATTTTAAGCCTGACCAAAATAAATTTCATTTTTATAAGTTAGGTTAGGATCATATATTAGTCAGAAAGTGAAAGCAACAGGGTTTTTACAATTAAAGTTTGTAGGAAAATGCAGTTGGTATATTTAAAAGATTTCATTGAGATTCATGGCTCTTCCATCCCTAGGCCTTTGGTCTTGAATGTTTTTTCTGGAAGTCTCATTCCTGGGCAGTTTGCACTTTTGTTTAGCTCTTGGGTGAAGTCCATTCTAACCAGGAGGGCCTGGACTAAAAGAACTCTTTTTCACTTTTGGCCTCCAATCCATCCTTCATAGCACTATTGTAAAAAAGATAGTTGGCACATTTTCCACAATAGGGTAATTTGCCAGTTAATTACATTGTTTTATGGTGTATATTTTATTTTTCTCCTGTCCTGTAATTCCCATCTCCTTGCCCCCTTACCACCACCACCACCACACACAAATTTGGTCTCATTCTGAAAAGGATTTTTAAGACATCCTACTGAGACAAGTCAGCTTATTAGGAAAATGCAGCTGGATGGGAGGAGTCAGGAGTGGGTGTGGTGAGGGCTGGCACTGCTGCTGGCCAGCACTGCAGTCTAGTGTCTGAGAATGAACTGGGAGAGAATCCTATTGGTGATATATGATTACAGTGATTGTGAGATAAACTTGGCAATTGCTGCAGATCAGTGGT